ACTGGTTTGGATTCAGACATTGAAAAATTTAGTATTTTTATTTTATTGAATCATCTAACTACACTAAATTCTATTTCAGCATTATAAGCCCTTATCCTGAAAGGAATTATTGATATATTTTTACTGCTATTTTTAAAAGCTGTAGTCAATCTTAGTCTTCGTATAACTTATTTGTGCCAAATTGCAAGTTTGTCTCTTTGGGTACTTTCTCCATTTGTATTGTAGTAATAACGTACTAATGGCTACTTCGTATCTATCTTATTATTAAGAATTATGATATTCTAATAAACTACGATTACATTTTACAAATAATTTTCATTTAGGTTATCCCAATCTGTATACATAACCCACTACTCACGAATTGCACCTTAATTATAGTTCCTTTAAACCCATTTTACATTTTCTACTTTCATATATTAGGTACTTGGAAACCATGGTTCATAGGCGAAAGGATTCTCCTGTAAAACAGAGGGAATGGTTCTCTCTTACATCTCTTAGATAAAGTGGATGACTCTGAAATCTGAGATTTTGTAGAGTTCCTATTATTTGCTTTCTTGAGGCTAAGCGGTACTAACTGACAGACAAGCATAATTTACTTAGTATTGGTTTGACCTCGTCGAGACATGGAAATCTTATGAAACATACCTAAATTTGCCTCTTATCCTATAGTATACATGATGATTTCCAGCATTGGACCGTATATTTGGTATATTCTCGGATCATTTACTTAACCCTAAAATGATGTTGGTGTGCACTACCCAAACAAGTGGAAAGACAGGCCTCGTTTAGCCTCAGTAACTTTCGAGCCCACAATCATCTCGTCCCACTCTACTTATCGTCTAAATGTGTTTGAAGTGTGACCTAAAATTTAGTCGTGGTAACCATTATCTTTTTATATTTTACTATATAAAATTCTAAACTTATATGTAGCTGGCCAATTGTACACACCATTATTTGTCAGAAAGGGAGTTAGAGGGTCAAGCTTCAACGCTTTACTATATTAAATATGCAACTTTAATTTAATCATTTTATTACTTCTAAATTGCAGTCTGCCGGTAAGAAACGCAATTCATTCTTGTTTGGAAAGTACAAGCCACCAAAGAGGAACAGTGCTCAACCTTCTGGCTGGAAAAGGTATAAACGCTTTTACGTCGATGAGCCTGTCTTTGATATAACACCTCAATACATTATCTGATAATCGATACTCCTTAAAGGCCTAATACAAAACCACCGACTAGATCCACAACCCAAGTAGGCTTGCTGAATGAAAATACACGATTTATCCTTTCTATTCTCCCACCCATGTTTCAGAAATGCAGCTCTAAATTTCGGTAATGTGCCTCAATTATTCAGATGAGTTATGGTAATTAACTATAGATTTTATGTTGCTTAGAAACGATTAATTTATGATAATATCACATCTTATTCTCAGTGAATCTAGTTGCCCTCTAATTATATAATGATATTGCATAAACCGATATTTCCTGATAATTGTATCCAAACCCTTCTTAACATATCGTTGTATAATTATGCATTCGAAGGACAGGACAAACTACATTTTTTTATTTTTTCCGTTTTTAAAATAGAAAAGTGACATCTGATCTAGCTCCTGCAGCATCCGCTCCCAAATTAATGAAGCTGACCGTGCAGAGAAACTAGCCCAAACTCTATCTTGTAACCTTTATGTACAAATTTGAAAATATCTAAGCATAATTGCTGTTTAAAAAAACAATTATAATTCGTAATTTTTAATACCAATTGGCTCTGATTAAGAAGTCAGTCAACTCCCCTCTTCTCACGCATGCTCCAATTTTTGACGAATTATTAAGAGAAAGCCAGAGAGCAAAATGAACCTCGACTCACTAGGGTGGCATAATGCTTGGGGAAGTGAGATATTGCCATAACTTGCTGATTCGACTGCAGACGCAAGTGTCGACATGACAATGCTTTATAGAAATGATAGCTCTGGAGGGAGAGTGAACTGAGCGATGTCTCTGAAATGCAACAGAAGCCCCATCATTTTGGTCAATCGGGGTATGGTGGAAGCGGTGCCGACATTACCGGCAACGTCGGTACTCTTCTCAGATTTTCTGCAGTCTAGGCCGTCTGAATCATCACAAGTGGCCTCGATATGACGTAGAATAGCCCGGTTTAGCGATCCTGCAATTTTTTCAGCATGCCTAGAGCTAAGGAGACTTCCATATATGCTGTTAGTTGGATCTTCAAACGCCAACAGGGCCATTGTATTCTGCATCTCGTGTAACAACCGAGGATGATCGGATAAGCGCTTTGCGACGGGATCAGCCAGATAGGACTGCGCGAATGTAAGGGCTTCCTCGAGACGTCGAGCTCGAATTAGCTCCAGCATTTGAAGTTGACGGAGCTAGATAAACAAATACAAATAGAAAATGAAACAGGCAAATCTGAGATTAAGCTATCGACGATAAATACCGAAAATGGATCAATTTAGGCAAGTGAGAAATTGCTAAGAAACTAGATGAGGCATATGGATTTCAAAGATAAATTGGAGACAAAAATCTTTTGTTTATAATAGGGGGCATAAGTAACACGAAGCCACTAACTTGGAAATAAATGAAAGGGCTTTTGTCAAAAAGCTCTGGCCATAGTCTGTTAACCTTCGGAATCACTTCCTCTATTCTCCTCTCCAAAACCGCTTCTCGAATCCACATTCGTTCTGAAAGACTAGCTCCTGCAGTTGGTATCTTCGAGAGTGGTTCATCAAAGCCGATTTCCCGGCTAAACTTTTCCGCAGCATCTTTGTAGCCCTCGACAACTAAGTATTCAAGAATAAATCTATTGATCTCTTCTCTAGTCAAACTAAGCCCAACTTGATCGCCGAAGCAGTTAAGAGAATTGGAAAGGGCTCCACCTTGTAAAGAACCTCGCAAGCATCCAGCGTTTTCTGATGAGTTATTGGCTTGGTCTGTAGCTGTTTGACTAGATGGTTCCATAATTGCCTCGAAATGTGTAGACCTGGAGGTCGACATGAGCCTGTGTTGGAGGTAGAAAGGAAAAAAATCACAGAATAAATATAGTGTATCGTTAATTATAGATCTAATGCTATTTAACAAAATACTCTAAGAGTAATAAAGGAGAAAAAACTTAGAGCTTGATTGAAGGTAACTTTACGGTTGTCGGGCAAGTGGCTATGAAGAACGTCAGCTCTGTTATGAAGATTAAGCGCAGAAATACAAAATGCTCAGAGCAATGTCTATGCAAAAACATGTTTAAAGAGCAGGAAATAGTTCAGGATAAATAAGACAATGGGGTGCAAGAATAGACTGATTAGTTAGAATAAATCCTTGAGCTAGAGACATTCGGGACTGTGGTGAACTATTAAAAATAAAAGCAAATAGAAATATGTTAAAAGATAGAAGACCTCAACCATAGCTAGAAGATAAAATAAATTTCTTTTAGGTTATAAGCAAAACCGAGGTCTGGACTATCGAAATAATTTGTACAAAGCTTATCATTCACAAACTTTATAAAATCAAAAGATAAAACAAGAATTACAATGTACACGTTTTGATGGATCAAGATTTAAATGAGATGAAATCAACAAATATAATATTATTATTAAGCATAAATGCAAGCAGAATAATAATAATATAAAAAAAAGAAATGGAACTATATATATGTAACCAAGTGTAACCTATGACAAAAAAAGCAACATGTGGAAGCTGTGAGAAAATAAGATAAGTCATATATATGGAGCGTATAGAAGATAGACGAAAACGAATAAATAGTAAGAAGAATAATACCAATCCGAATAGACCGCAAAATAATTAGGATGAGCAAAAAACTAGCATTCTACAGAAAATGAAAGTACAATAAATTATTAATAAAATTTATTTACGAGTTAATAAATATAATATTTTTTTAAGAAAATATGTAAGTATAATTTGAAAAAAAATCAATAAAAAATGAATTTTAATTCAAAAATTCTCATAAAAACTATGAAAATAATAAGATATTTCTGACAATATATTTAATCTTTTCGAAACAGATATAGCACGTGTTCGTTTATAATCCCATCAAACTGGTATCTTTATTGAGTGTGTAGAGTTAACTTATTCCATTTAATAATATTATGAGCAAATAATATGATCAGAACACATGCTTATATCATCTAGAATCTGTACAATCTAGTACCTTGCAAAGCTTCTTAGCTAAGTAAATTAACTTATACATAAAGATATTTTTCATTCGTGGTCTATTTCCAAAAATGCCAAATTATTACGAGATAAATAGATTCATTATAGAGACATTGATGTTCCAATATTATATTAATATATGATATTCCTTATCTTGGTGATAAATACCGCACTAACCACAAGACTTCCATAATCCGGCTTCGACGAATCTTCCGACATAGTAGTGTGGGAGTAACATCGATTTTGAATTTTTGAAATTCGCTGGTCGATTTCACAAGAAGACAGCTGATTTTCAATGATCTGCAGCCATTTCAAGTTCAGTACATGGTTCTGGAAAATGAAGTGGTGGCAGATACTATCATATCCATAT